TCAAATGCCTTAGGCACTATGCCACCAGAGCTCCCATATTGATAATATCTATTAAAATTAAAGTCTTTTGACCTATTCATGACACTTTTTGGGGAATCTTTCCTACAGAAATAAAAGCACGGGATTCCATGTACTCAGATGTTTAATGTAACGTTGAAGGTAGTAAAAACAGGAAATGACAGAAATAATAGGGAAGTCGTTTAATAAATTATAGATATCCATATCTAGAATATTAGGTAGCTACTGAGAAAGTCCTGGAGGGCTATCCATGAGAAAAGCAAGTTTCAGAGTATTTCAGAGCATGATGGACACAATATTCCACTGTTGCCTGCCCCACACCTCGTATGTGGGGATATGTGTTTATGTCTGGGCCTGAAGAAGGTGATGGAAAGATACAAACCAGAGCAACTCACAGTGCTTATTCCAAGGAAGGAAGGGAAATGGGGGAGAGCTTAACTCTATATACCTTTGGATGGTTTCTCTTTATTACCATTATTGCTATTTTTAATTAAAAAAAATTCTTAAAAGTCATGAAAGCCCAACTTGAACCAACGTTCAGGCAGAAGAAGAAAGAACTGAACTGAGAGCCTATGAGGCTCGGAAACGTGCAAGTGTTTGGAAGGAACTCTAGGCGTTCAGCCTCCCTGCACGCACTATTTCTGACTTACCAGGGCTAAGTTTAATGTGACTCTTTCAGTTTATTTCCCCATTTCATTGGGTTTATTTCCCAAAGCATTGGGATCTTCCTAGGTTAGGGGTTTGCTGCAAAGGTATGGGACTTGTTGGCATCAGCAAGATAATAACTACTGGTAAGAAAGTACAGACCACTCACGAGGCTGTGCCAACCACAAAAACTACTGCTGTATCCTGATGTCTCGGAGAGAGGGCTCTACCATAGCTGAAAACCAGAAAAACCACACCAAACTCACTGCCGTCGAGTCTGATCTGACACCTAGCGACCCCTCCTTGGGTTTCTGAGGTGGTATCACTATGGAAGGCTCACCCTATTCGCTGCTGCTGAGAATCCTAAAGGAAGGAAGACAGGCTACTTTCCTGGAATCTTTCTCTGTTGGACAAGTTGGGGTTCTAATATTCATTTAGATTCCAAAAGTAGTTCATGCTTAAATTGTATTAGAAACAACACATGACCTTTGTATTTTTATTGTGATTTGTGACAGAGCAAATTCACTTTCCATACAGCAGTTCACATATACATTGTCTCATGTCATTGACCACAGTTTACCACAATGCAACAGCTCCCCTCCCACTTCCTCCCCATAGTTACCTCTTCCCAGTGTCCATCCCTCCATACTCTCCTGCCACCTGAGCTGTCCCCCTGTGCATAAGCAGCCCTTACTTCTCCCATGATTGTTCTCTCCAGTGTATCTACTTGAGGTAAATGTTCAACTCATGTGCCTGTATTTTGTTTGGCTGGAAACCACAGGTGTGGGTTCAAGGGGCAGCTAGGGGCCATAGTCTCAGTGGTTCCACCAGGCTCTGTCAGACCAGCAAGCCTGGTCCCCACCTTTTTTTTTTCTCCAAATGATTTTGAGTTTTGTTCCACATTGTTCTCCCTCTCTGTCAAGGATCTCCTACATAGATCGCCTTCCAAGTGGATGGCAGTGGTAGCCGGGCACCATCTAATTCTTCTGGTCTCATAGTTGTATAGGCTGCAGATCAGATGGTGTACCAGTCGCTAGGACTAATTGTAGAAACAACACATGATCTTAAATATAAGTGTGTATTCTTAAGTTTGGTGACAAGGAGAGTGAAGAAAACAAATAGCCTGTTGATTTATTTAGTTCAGTGACTTTCAAAGGTTTCTGACATGGCCCATAGTAAGAAATATATTTTACAACAGTGTCTGGACAATGAATAAGGAAGACTGAAGAAGAGTTGATGATTTTGAGTTGTGGTGTTGGCAAAGAATATTGAATGTACACGGACTGCCAGAAGAACTAATAAATCTATCTGGGAGAAGTGTAGCTGGAATGCTCCATGGAAGAAAGAATGGCCAGACTTCATGTCACCTACTTTGCTCACGCTGTCAGATGGGACCATTCCCTGGAGAAGGATATCATGCTTGGTAAAGTGGAGGGTCAGTGAAAAAGGTGAAGACCCTCAACAAGACGGATTGGCACAGTGGCTGCAACAACGGGCTCAGCTACATCAAGGATTGTGAGGCTGGGACAGGACTGGGCAGTGTTTCATCCTGTTGTACACAGGGTCACTATGAGTTGAAGCTGACTCAATGGCACCTAACAACATCTGGAATATATAAAACAAAAGTCTTATGAAATGATACTTACCCTTATAAATGTGATGCCTTAAGAAATTTTCTATTGTATTTGCTTATTTTTATTGTAATAAATATATATGTAGCAAAACATTTGCCATTTCAGTCTTCTTCACAAGTACAATTCAGTGACAGTAATTAGGTTTATCACGTTGTTGAACCATCCTGTCCGTTCCCAAGTTTTTCCATCATCCATAACAGAAGCTCAGTGTCCCCGAAGCACTGAGTCCTCCTTTCCCCCTCTCTTGCCCTATTTTGGTCTTTTTCTTTAAAAGAAAATGCTGGTTGTGATGCCTGCATTGATTTCAGGACTGATGGGCCATAGTCTGCAGTTTGAAAAACACTGTAGGTGACAAATCACGTTGTGAAGGCAGAGGTCAATTAGCTGAGCACAGCAGCTGGGTTTCTGCCAAGTCTGTAGAAAATTATTTTCTTCTTTCAACTTCCTGCCTGCAACTGGAGCCTCAGAGTCGAGGGTATGCACTCATGGTGCTTTTGAACGGCCCTGAGAACAACAGCTCAGGGAAGCCCAGGGGATCTGCCCCACAGCCCCAAAAGCTTATAGGCAAAGATTCCCAAGGCTGATTTAGCCCCTTGGTATGTGTGTCCTTCCGCTGGCGTGGGGCAGTGCAAGGATGGCAGAAATTACTGTCTGCTAGGATTACTCAGTAAGGTCATGTGTCTCTGGACACTTGGGTCCCCCTGCTTCTCATTGTGTAAGGCTCTCTAGGGAAATGCAGCAGAGTCTTTTATGGGTATTCCTTGGAAACGTTCCTCCCCCGCTTGCTCCGCTCCCTACCAGACATCCCAGAAGCCTCCAAATAAGCCATGAGGAGCGTCTGCAGCTTCTCGTTCCACGGGCTGCATTTTGGCCCTTCCCTGCTGCCTGTAACACAGGTTTCAGCTGAAAGCAGAGCTGCAGTGCAGTTGGGGCTGTCCCTGTCCACTACCCACCCTCAGGTAGCACCCTGACTTCACTCCAACCAGGTTATCCCTGTGACAGTGCCAGTCTCAGTGGCTGCACCCCTCTGCCTGCATGGTGGAGCCAGATGTTGGCAGGTGACCCAACCAGGGTCCGAGCCAGTGGGTTTTGCACACTGCAATAGGAGAGGGGAAGCCCTTTCTTTCCTCTCGAGTCTTCAAGCCGTGATCAGAATGTGAGCTTGGAGCTGCCAGTAACAATATCATCCACTGTGTGGAGAAAGATTCCTGAAGTAGAAGAAAATGAAGCCGATACACTGAGAGCAAACAGGCCTGAGTTGGAGCGTTGAAGACCCTGTTTGTGTTCTTGGAGCAGCTGTCCTTGAAGCTGGAGTTAACTCATGCTTTTGTTTTTTTCCCTAAGCTAGTTTGAAGTGAGTTTCTACAACTTGCAAAAGAGACATTTCTGACTCCAGAAGCCAAAAAACCCCTAGAGTTCTAGAAGCTGCTCTTCTGGTCAGACATTAAGCAAACAAAATAATCGAGAGACCATTACCCATCATGGAGCTTGCTGGAGGAGTAAAGCAGCTGAAATGGGGTGTCTGTTTATGCCATTTGACTTGAACTAAAGTTCTGTTTTATTTGGAAACAGAAAATTTATTAGGTTTCTTTGGAATTCACAAATTCCAAAGAAATGCTTTATTCTTACTGTGGTACTTTGGTACTATAAATCCTTTGTACATTTCCTCTTACAGAATGAGTTTCAGATTTTCACTTCATAGAATTGTTGTGATGTTTAAATGAGACAAAATGTAGAAAAAAGGACAAAAATTGAAAACAATGTATGGTAATCATTGTGAGGTACTATCTGATCTCACTCAAATGAGTGTATTCATTTTCCAGTCATGCTAAGGATACACTGTCCTTCAAATCAAAGGTAATGCTAATCAATGGGAAAAATTTTCCAAGAACAGGAGCTAATATCTACTGAGTGCTATGTATTTGGCAATTAATCAAGTGATTTTAATGGCATTGCCTTGTTTAATCTTTTCAATAATTATATGCTACTTTTATTGCACAGAGGAGGAAACAGGCTTAGAGCAGTGATTCTCAACTGTGGATGATTTGTGCCCAGGAGACACTTGACAACGTCTGGAGATATTTTTTGATTATCACAACTATGGGAATTGGGTGGGTACTGGCATCTTAGTGGGCAGAAGTCAGGGATGTTGCCAAACACCCTACAATGCACAGGACAAAGAATGCACCCCACAAACAAGAATCATCTGCCCCAAATGTCAATAGTGTCAAGGTTGATAAACCTTGGCTTAGAAAGAAACCTAGCCAATATGCTATACCGTCTGTACTGGGGACACATACTCACACGTGCACATGCAAACATGCAGGCATGAACATGGTATGAATGCACATACGCACACACATGCAGACATGCTCACATATACATGCACACATGTGCACTCACCCACATGTGTATACCCACTCAAATGCTGGGTTTGAGTGTTCAGCATTTTAATTCTTCCAGTTCCTACGGTTTCCTGCTAGGGCACTGCTAACAGAAAGCAAACAAGGACTGTTTCCCAGCTTGGTAAAGAACGTTCGATGGATTCAGTGAGGTGTGCTGTCTCTAAGACTGTCACAATGCTTCACCTTTGAGGAGCAGCGTACAATGGATCAGGAGGAGGATTTTAGGCTATTATCACCGTATGCAGTACAAAGGTGCCTTGTCAGGCTAGGATGCCTTCCTAAAATCTGTGCCACTGACCTTGTTCCAAATGAGGACAGGGGTTGGGATTCCGATGACCTCACAGCTTAAGTACACCTGGGCACCAGTGACATTCCAGATGTCCTTGGGGGGCGTCACGATGGAAGGACCTATAAGAGAGGGGACAAAGACAAAACCATCCTTGAAATAAGTCTTAACATTAGTCAGCATCCTGGGAAGTCAATGTTTGATTATGTTTATGAGGTCATCTCCTCTGGATTGTTTAAAGCAAATTTCAAAGGCTAGACTGGCTTCTCCCTGCCCCTAGTATGATTTTAATCTAAGCTTTGGGGCTGCATAAATCTAAACACAAAAACAAAAATAATTCGGAAGAAAATTTTGTTATTTCTACAATTTTCTTCTCCCCCAAACTATGCTCAAATGAGTTTTAATTTACCAGCTGTTTTGCATTATCTGGGATTTTCCATTAATAAAGTAAGATTTTAGATTTTTTTTTTTTCTTTTGTTTACTAGTATTTCTATTTTGGGGCAGGCAATGAACAACTGTTACTTAGGTAATGAAAAAAAAAATGAAGAGAGATTTGAATCTACTTTATCAGGGAGTAGATTATGGGTGCCAGGCACCCAGAAAAGTTGGAAGTCCCTGCCTCAGGAAGCATAGATAAGCTGATAATGATAAGTCAGAGGTGGTCATTTTCATCAAAGGGGGAAAAAGTGCAATGCCATGTGCCCTGGAGGACTGAACAGAGGCACCGTGGACAGAAGTAGCCTGGGTGTCAAGGAAGATGGTTGGAGGGGTCCTCCCAGCATGGGTCGGGGGAGGCCACGGGTAAAAGAACAGGCAAGAAGGTCCTCACTCAGAATCGGTGACTGCAGCATGCATCTTTTTTGCTGCTCTCTAGTCCTGGGTTCAGGAGTCTCTGAGTGGGACAAACAGAGGTTCGAGCCCATCCAGAGATGCCTGGGAAGAAAGGCCTGGTGATCCACTTCCAGCAGATCACAGCCATGGAAATCCCTATGAACCGAGCTCTACTCTGATACATAGGGGGTCCCCAAGAGTTGGAATAAACATGATGGCAACTGATTTAATCCTGGCTTCGGCAAATCATGGCCGACGGGCCAAATCTGTCCTGCCATCTGTTTTTGTATGGCCTGTGAACTAAGAATGGCTTTACATTTTTAAATAATTGGAAAAAAAAAATTGAAAGAAGGACATGTAAAAAGTATATGGAATTGAAATTTCGTGTCCATAAATTAAAGTTTTATTGGAACACAGCCACACTCATTACTTTAGACGTTGCATGTAGGGCTGCTTTCATACCACAACAGCAGAGTCAAGCTGTTGCAACTGAGACTGTATGGCCTAAAGTCATTACTATCCGGCCCTTCCCAGAAAAAGTTTGCTGATCCTGTTGTTGTTGTTGTTGTTTGCCGTCGAGTCGGCCCCGACTCATAGCGACCCCTCCCTGGGTTTCCGAGGCAGTATCACTACGGAAGTAGGATTGCCCAACCTTCCTTCCAAGGAGTGGCTGGTGGGTTTGAACCGCCTGCCTTCTGGTTGGCAGTCAAGTGCCTTAGCCACTATGCTACCAGAGCTCCTAGCTCTAGTCAATTGAGCGGTGACAAACGGCCAAACAAGATATTAACAGAAATTATCAGAACTTCAACCCTTTACACATTACCCAGAGTTGATGCAAATGCAACACTGGACAATTTATCGCTCAGCTCTGAACCACAACACTCTGACACCCAGCACGTATTGCAAGACCATGTGCTTGCTGACTGTGCCATCTGTGCTAGAAGAGATATATGCACCTACTCTTTGTTGTTAGCTGCTGTTGAGTCAGACTCATGGTGACCCAACATGTAACAGAATGAAATGGTGCCCCGTCCTGCGCCCTCTTCATGACCAATGGTACGTCTTAGTCCATTGCTGTGGTGACTGTGTCAATTCATCTCACGAAGGGTTTCTTTTCCTCCTGACCCTCCACTTTACCAAACATGATTGTCCTTCTCCAGTGATCGGTCCCTCCTGATGTGTCCAAAGTAAGCGAGTCAAAGTCTCCAACAATATCCTGATTTTGGAAGTTAAATCACCAGGCTTTTCTTCCTAGCCTTAGTCCAGAAGCTCTGCTGAAACCCATCCCCCATGGGTGAGTCTCTGGCATCTGAAATGTCAGTGACATAGCTTCCAACATCGTAACAACACACAAGTCACCACAGTATGACAAACTGACAGATGAGTGGTGGACCTGCATTTTAGTGAATGGTAATTAGGGTTTTGAGGCACTCCGGAGATTCAGTGGTTAAGTGCGTGGTTGCTAACTGAAAGGTTGGCATTTTGAACCCACCAGCTGCTCCGTGGGAGAAAGATGGGGCAGTCTGCTTCCATAAAGGTTTATAGCCTTAGAAACCTCATGGGGCATTTCTCCTTTGTCATATAGTGTTACTATGAGCTGGAACTGCCTTGATGGCAATGGGTTTGGCTTAATTAGTATTTCACTTCTGCTAATTCTGAATGCCAGGTTTCAGCCACCAGGGGCCTCCAGAGAGACTTGGAACAGTCCACAGAAGAGTGGAAGTAGAGCTGGGAGCTTGGGTCCCATGGCTGCCTCAGCATACAATTCCAGAGTCCAACTTTCCCCTACTTGACACTCACCAGCATTTCTTGAATGAAGGGGTTAATTATTTCTTCGGAATTTCAGCTCTCTGCTGCCTTGGTCCTTTAAGCCCAGTACAATACCTAATGCAGGATCATCTTGCATCAGATCTCTGGGAAAGGGACAAGTTCCCCTTTCGGCTCGGAAAATTTTCTGGCATAATCACCATTCCAAGGTCACAAAGTCCCCCTTTTGCAACAGGCTATTTCCAGTACACTATTAATTTCTTGAAACAGAAAGGAAATGACCCCAGCGTGCAAGATGTTCCCACTCATCTAAAGCAGCAGAAGCTGATTTTTTTTTTTTTTTAATCCTTTGGGGTATTTTTATTTTTTCCCTTTGTAAGAATGCAAATGATTGTTTTGAATGCAAAACAATCAAAAGTTTTGAAAGCTCTAAATATATTTCATGCTTCCTTCCCTCCAAACTATAGGTCCAAATAAAAAGCATATATCTTGGCCAGGGGTCTTGGCTTTTCTATCACAAACATGGATGTTAGCAAAATGGTGCTATAGTTATGTCTGTTTCTGCCTCTGTCTCAGACGTTTCCTGGTCTGAATGTTCCAATGCAGGACCCAGTAAAGGGCTGGGCTAGGCCTCACTCCACCCCAAGCTTCCTCAAGGGTCCTGTGACCCCAAGGGCATGGACAACACATAACTAGATCTGGCTGTACTTTGAACTACTTTTGCCTACTTCTTGGAGGGCGCTCATGCTACTCTGTCCTCCTTCCCACACATGATCTTGGCAAGACAACCTCAAAGCTCAGGGGATATCTAGGGATTGTTCTGAGAAGAATACATCAGTGTTTAGAGATTTGGAGGGGCTTGGGAACAAAGCTGCCTCTCACGGATCAACACCACACAAGGAATGCAAGATGCTTTTATTGTGAGGATGTGAGTGCTTCTGCCTCAGAAGAGACCATTCAGTATAACTAGCTTCTATCTCCCTCTAGTCAGTGAAGGTAGCAAGTCATCAGCCTCTTTCCAGGAAGTAGATTCTGGAGTGCATGTGGATGAATTCCAGCCTGGTTTTCTGTCACATATCTTGAAGACAAGGAGCTCTGGTGGCTCAGTGGTTAAAGCATTTAGCTGCTAACCAAAAGTGTGGTGGTTTGAACCCACCAGCCACTCCATGGCAGATGAGGCACTCTGCTTCTGTAAGGTTGACAGCCTTGAAAACTTTATGGAGGCACTTCTACTCTGTCCTATAGGGTCACTATGAATTGGAATTGACTCAGTGGCAGTGGGTTTGTTTTTCTGGTTTGGGTCTTGAAGATACATGATGAATTTTTCTCATTTCATTATTTCTAAACAGATGTTCTGAATCTTAATATGGAGTGGCAGTGGTGGTTCAGTGGTGGAATTCTTGCCTTCCATGAGGGAAACTTGCGTTTGATTCCTGGCCCATGCATAAGTAGCTACCACCCACGGGTCAGTGGAGGCTTGTAGGTTATTATATGCTTAAAAGGTTACAGCAGGGCTTCTGGGCTAAGACGGACTGTAAAAAAGGGCCTGGTGATCTACTTAAAAAACCAGCCAGTGAAAACTGTATGCGCACCTAATAATCCCTAATTTCACATCTGTTACACAATTCAATTCCTGTAAGCTCTGTTCTACCATTTCTTCATAGAAAAAAATTCAGGAAGGGGGCTCAATTCAATGACTCTTTACCAAATAACTTCTAATACTGACTTTGTTGTGAGAGGGGTCGCCATGTGTTAGGAGGCAACTCAGCAGCAGCTACAAACAACAATTTAAACAGAGTCCAATTTAGCAAATCTCTTTTATGGTTAATGCTTTCTTGTGTCCTTTTCAAGAGTCCAGGCTAAGGCTCTGGTGGCGTAGTGCCTGAGCCATTTGACTGCTAACCAGAAGGCTGGTGGTTCAAATCCACCAGCCACTCCTCGGAAGGAAGATCAGGCAATCTACTTCTGCAGACACCACCTCAGAAATCCAAGAAGGGGTCGCTATGAGTTCAATTGACTTGATTGCACTGAGGTTTTTTTTTTTTTTTTTTTTTAAGGCTAAGACTACAGAGATCTCCTGTTCTCTTCTACAATCTTTACAGTTTTACTTTTTACACTTAGGTTTGTGATCCATCATGAATTAAATTTTATGTATGCTGTTAGGTAGAGAGCAAGGTACATCTATTTCCCCCCCAAAAGGACATCCAATTGCTTCCGCATAATTTGTTGAAAAGAATCCCTTTTCTATTAAATTGTAATGGCACCTTTGTGGTAAATTCACTGACCATATATGTGTAGGTCTATTTCTGGACTCTCTATTCTGTTCCATTGGTTTATGTATTTGTTCTCATACCAGTAGCCATGGTATAATTTAGAAAGTAACCATAAAAATCAAAGTGTATGGAGGGCAGATACAATTTATCTATCTCCATTCTCTTATTCCAAGAAGCAGAACAGTCCGGAAAGTACAAGAATTCCTTAAAAAACATTTGTATCCAGGAAGACTTTGAATTAGAACAATTG